ATGGAAAGTACTGTTAAAGGCACTAAAGCTAGGGAGAAGGAAAACCTTATTCCATCCTTATCTGAAGAAGAGAGGCTTCTTGAATTAGGCAGGGTGAGTGAAAGGATGCTCAAAGAAGGTGTATCAGAAGAGGGCATTGACGGCTTTAAGGCCTGTGCTGATAACGTCTCAACCTCCAATTTGCATGCGGATGGGGCAGCTGGGGATCTGCAAATGGATGCGACCCCTATGTGTTTGCTGAACAGACAGATGCAAACCTCTTTGTCTTCCTCTTTTCTTGTTGATCATTCGTATGAAATGAGGGGGAAACAGGTTTTTTCCTTGGATGATGAAAATGGGTTGAGAAGGGATAAAGAACCACCTGACAGGTTTTTATTCAGATCAAGAAAGTTCAAAAGAGTGGGTTGATTTAGCTGAGAATACTGCTGAAAATGTAGATCAAAGGCTTGCTCTGGTTAATCATGTTGAAGAAGACCCCTCAGAATCTAGTTCTGGGACTAGTCCCAGAGATAATGCTGCCCTTACCTCTTTATGATGAATTTTCTCATGTGGAATGTAAGGGGAGCTGGCAAGGATAGCTTAAGAAGTAGAGTAAAGAAATTAATTGTGATGAACAAGGTTTGCCTACTGGCCGTAATTGAGCCTAAAATGGCTCCCACCAAATTGAGGTATTTTAGCTCCGCTGTTGGTATGCACTCGTTTATGGTGAATCCACTGGCTGAGAAAAACATGTGGCTCTTATGGAATGATAACGTGGAGGTAAGGAGTATTCTGAATTTTGAGCAAGCAATGACCGTATCCGTATCTTTTTTGGGAGCTGAGCCCATTTTGGTTACTGTGGTGTATGGTTGTTGTGATTAACTGCTAAGACGACCTTTATGGGGGCACTTACAGCTTATTTCCTCATCTTTTGCTATGCCTTGGTTGGTCATGGGGGATTTTAACATTGTGATGAGCTCTAATGAAAGATTGGGTAGTGCATTTCCATCTATGCTTGCAATGGATGAATTCGGGGCTTGTATTCAATCGGAGGGGCTTATTGATTGTGGGTATGAGGGTAATAATTTTACTTGGTGTAATGGGCATCATGGAAGCTCTAGGATGTGGCAAAGGTTGGACCGAATGTTTGTTAACTCTGAATGGATGGCTAAATTCCAGAAATCTCTGGTTATGCACTTGGCTAGAGGAAGCTCTGATCACTGTCCTCTGTTACTTAAGACTGAGGTGACTGACGACCAGCAAAGAGTCTCTTATTTCAAATTTCTTGATATGTGGGTTGAGGACCCCTCTTTTTTATCTCTGGTTGCAGCAAATTGGAGTGGATATTATGCAGGAAATCCAATTGAGAACTTCTTCCTTAAACTGAAAACGCTCAAGATGAAAATTAAAAGCTGGAACAAAGAGGTGTTTGAAAAGATTAGAAGGCAGTAGATGGATTTGAGTGATGCTGAAAGAAATGTTGACGCATGTTACTCGTATAACACTGTTTCAACTTTGGAAAGAGCAAGGAAGAACCTAGAGGAGACTTTGAGGCTGGAAGAACTGTATTGGAGACAAAAAGCAAATGTTAAATGGGCTCTGCAGGGGGAAAGAAACACCAAGTTTTTTCATGCTATGGCTAAAAGGAAAGCGGTGAGGAACAGAGTGCTGAGAATTAAAGGCGAGGATGGTACATGGTGTGACTCTGAGGATGAAATTGCTCAAATTGCTGTTTCATTCTTTACTAAACTCTATAAATCTGAGAATCATGTGCTTGAAGATAACATGTTTGAGGTCATTCCTAAGCTAGTAGGACCTGCTGATAACGAGAGTTTGACTAAGGCAGTGTCTCTCACTGAGCTTAAACAGGTTGTCTTTTCTATGTCCGCGGAGAGTGCCCCTGGTGCAGATGGTTTCTCTGGCAAATTTTTTCAAGTGGCTTGGGAGATCATTAATAGTGATTTATTAGGTGCAGTTAATTTTTTCCTGAGTGGTGGAGTGGTCCCTAGATCCGTAAACTCTACACTTCTTGTTTTGATCCCGAAAGTGACCAAGCTCAGTTCTTTTTCAAAGTTTAGGCCTATAAGCCTCTGCAATTTCCTGTACAAAATTTTTACTAAGATTCTTTCTAACCAGCTTGCGGTTCTCCTTCCCTCTCTGATTTCTAATGCTCAGCACAGATTCGTTAAGGGGAGGGGAATAGGTGACTATATTTCCCTGGCCCAACTGATGGTTGGGGAGCTTGATAGGAAAGTCGAAGCGGGCAATGTGATTGTTAAACTTGATATGATGAAAAAATATGACCGTATAGAGTGGGACTTTCTGGAAAGAACACTGGAGTGTTTTGGATTCTCAAACTTATTTGTCTCTATTGTTGGAAATTGCCTGAAGAACCAGTTTTCCTGTGTCTGCCTGAATGGGAAACGATTTGGCTTCTTTCCCTCTTCTAGAGGGTTGAGGCAAGGTGATCCGTTATCCCCCGCTCTTTTTATTTTGGCAGAGTAAGTCTTAAGTAGGGGATTGACCCAGCTTTATGGGGAAGGAAGGGTAAAAGCCTTTCATGCAGGCAGGGGTGCCTTGATGATCTCTCATTTGCTCTTTGCTGATGACACCCTGTTCTTCCTTAGAGGAAACAAAATATCCATGGAACACTTGATGAGTTTTTTGGCTAGATATGAGGGTGGCTCTGGACAGAAAATAAGTAAGGAAAAAAGCACTCTGTTTTGCTCGTCTAAAATTCCCTTGGGCAGACAGAGGGCTTTATCTAGGATTGCAAACATTCCCATTAAAAAGTGCCCCTTTACTTATCTGGGCTGCCCAATGATTAAAGGAAGGTATCGGCTGCGGGATTTTGAGGAAGTGGTTTTGAAATTTAAGGTCAAATTGGAGGGATGGTATGCTTGTCTGCTGTCTAATATGGGAAGAATTGTGCTGGTTCAATCGGTTCTAAATGCTATCCCTGTGCATTGGCTATCTTGTTTAAGCCTCCCAGAAGGTATTCTCTTTAAGCTGAAATCAATGATTGCTTCCTTCTTGTGGTCTGGTAGAATGGGGGAGAGGAAAAGGCAATGGGTTTCATGGGATGATATCTCAAGACCAAAGCAAGAGGGAGGCCTTGGCATCTGAAAACTTGAGGATCTCCAAATTGCCTTTCGATGGAAGCAGGTGTGGGGAATTCTGAAGGGTGACTCTCTGTGGGCGAACATGTTCAGGGCAAAGTTCTTAAAGGAAAAACACATGTTGAGATGTTCTGGCACTGGGAAAGCTCGCATTTTCCGCATGCTACAACCCTTTTTCTCCACTGTTCTGAGCTTCTCCCAGGTTCTGGTTTGTCATGGCAGGACTGTGGATTTTTGGTGCACAAATTGGATGGATAATGGACCCTTGTTTAACAGGGTGGACGGCCCTCTTTTATCTTTCCCATGCTTGTCTGATATTTGGGTTGGAGGGGCCTGGCAGTGGCACAAACTGGATATGGTAATTTCTGATCAGCTTAAGCAGGAGATTCAAAACACTGGGCTCCATTTAAGTGATAGGGAGGACCGCTTGGTATGGAAATTATTTGACTGCGGTGAGTTTACAGTCAAATCGGCTTGGCATTCGGTTAGGGACTCGAAAGATCCTAATGCTGTGGACTCTGCGATTTGGAGTCAATCTGCTTTCCCCAGCGCAAAGCTGCTGGGTTGGAAAATTCATCACAATGCAGTGGTTTTGGATTCGAATTTCCAAAGGATTGGTGTAACGCCCCAAATACCCCCTCGGACGGCATTACATTCTAAAACCTTTCACAATCATGAGAGCACTAAATAAATCCATAAATAAGAAATTTTTATCCATCAACCATTGATATTTTAACAAAATTCGGGCAGAGTCTCCTTTGTACGGGGAGCTCTACCACAAAATTCAACCTGTGCAATTCTACTATAATGACCACACCGGGTCCAATTAACTACTATATAATCAATCCATCAAATTTACATGTTACCCAAAAAAATATGCCCACAATGGCATGTACATTCCCAAAGAATTAAACTATGATAAGCAGCGGAATTTCAAAAGATAACTAGACTTTACAATCTTTCCAAAAAAAAAAAATAGCCTAGTCTAGAACAAAATAGAAGGGCCGCTCTAGGCGTCCACCTCGGGATCTACGCTCCCGTCGATCGGAGTCTCCCAAAGAACGGGCTCCTCGACTCCTGACTCCTCCTCAAGGATATAGTCTGAAAAATGTTAACAGTAGGGGATGAGCACTAGGCTCTGTAGCAAAATCTTCCCAACTCCAACAAGGTTTATAAAATACAAAACTGGTCGGTCACATTTCATAAATAACATATATGAATTTGAAGTAAAACAGGACATTTTAAATAGATCTCAAGTTTAAGCCATACAGTAGTTAAGGAGAGAAATAAATTAAGTTTAACCATAGCAAACCATTTCCAACATTAAGTCAATTAGGAGGGGCTCCCTCCGATGCATCGTCCCATACCAATGCACCGGCCAAGCCATTCCAGCCAATCATCACATTTATGTTGGTTCATCCCCGTACCATGTATGTTGATTGTTTCTCATGAATCTACCCAACGATTATACCTAGTCCACCCTTTTATAATCACAATCACAAGTACTTAGGGAAAGGGGCGTCTACCATCCCAATGGCAGTGACGAGTCCCTCCCCAGGAATGGTATACCAACCCTAGTTCGAACTCCAGACGTACGATAGTGGTCGCATTACCAAATGACAACTCACTACAAGTGCAAGAAACTATCTCCCCCCCCACTGGGTTCAACTGACATTACACTCTACGGCATATCTCGTAGGTAATTCAAGTCCCTCACAACCACCATACAATGAGTAAACCAACATATTCTCAATCAATTCACATTTTACCAATTAATCGCAAAATACCCAAATTTCACAAGTAAAGCGTCATAGCAAGATGGAATTAAAATGAGCAAAAGATCAATATAAAGATCATTTTCGTTGAACAATATCGAACACTAAATTTATAAAGTGAGAACCAAGGCAATATATGGAGAAAACTCAATTTTTCTTAAAACCAAGTTTGGAAGATGAAAAAGAGAAATTTAATGGTTACCAAACCATCCCATTATTCAAACATAGCATTTATTACAAGGAGAATTAAGAATCATACAAATCATATCAAATAAATATGGATGGGAGTGGAAAACATATGTATATACATAAACCCTAGCCTCAATGTAAGAAATTAGGAAGAAATCCCCTACCTCTTGGTTGTAGCTTCAATCTAAGACCCAAGATTCAAAATCTTCCTATTCTCCTTCCTTTTCCTCTTAATTTCGTCCTCCTAGGGTTTCTAGAGATTTGGGTGTGAGTGGTTGAGGAATAGAAGCAAAAGAAATGGGTGGAGAAGAGAAAACTTGAGAAATTCGGTTTTGATCTTTATGAGGTGGGAATCTCTCTTGACCTTGGTGTTTTTCTCTCCCTTTTCTCTTCTCTTAGGGCTCTAAGGTATTTAGAGTGGGAGGGAAATGAAGAATGGGAGAAATAGGGCTTGGAATGGATGTTTTAAAACCCAAAAATCCCGACTTTTACTGTTCATCGTCTGTTTTGGGGGTTTTCCAGACTTACTGTTTTCCTTATTTTTGATCATGATAAACTTTGAATCTGAAAAAGTGCAAAACATGAAAGTTGTAGATCTAGATGTCTTCTGCATTGTGTCAAAATTTCAGCTCAATCGGACCATTTTAGCAAGAGTTATGACGATTCTACGACAACTGGTCCGGAGTAGGCAATGTACCCGGAGTAGCGCCCCAGCGCCCATTTGGGCGCCCCTTTTCACTTCCAATCCTTCCAACTTTAATCCTAACTTATCCTACATACTTTTCTACATCGACCTAATTAGTTCAAGTTCTTTTATGATTTATTTTGTACATTTTCATACCGAAACTAATCTTTTAACTACTCTTTCCTTGAGTTATACTATTTTAACATTTCAAATGAAATAATTACTGAACACCTATGTCTTTTTTTTTTTTTTTTTTTTTTAACGCATGTG